GAGCGACCCCCCGTCCACTCCCGCCGCCGGTCCCGTCAGGCCGCGCCGCTAGGACCCGCCCACCCACGCAGCCGCGCACCCCCGCACCGCCCTGTGCGTGCCGCGCCGTGGGACGGGAAGGGGCGGGGCCGACCCGGGGGGTGGGGCCTGAGTCGCGTTCTGGGCGTCCGCGCACTTCCATTGGCTGAATCGGAAGCGGCGGGTGGTGCGACTGCGCGTGCGTCTCGAGCCTCACCCAGCCCCCGGGGTCCCGGCTGAAAGCGCGAGTGCGGTCCCGCCCCACACACAGCGCGTAGCCTGTGGGCGTGGCCCAGCCGTCGCTTGCTCCTTTCCGGGTTTTATCCCGGCACCGGGACTCCCGGCTGAGCCCCCTGTAGAAAACCCCCACGCCTATAGGTTGATTATACCAGTCCCGATTGCAAAATGAAGATACTGAGGCACAGAGAAGGTGAAAGCCCCTAGCGGCTTGCAATTCCCATCCAGCTAGAGCGGATGGCCAATAGGAGTAGAGTGCGACCCATGTGTGGACTTTTAAATTTTCCATCAGCCAGATGGAAGGACAGCAAAATGAAAAAGGTGAAATTGATTTTAAGAATGAATTTTCTGCCGGGCTCGGTGGCTCAGCCTGTAATCCCGCGCCTTTAGGAGGCTGAGGTGAGTGGATTGTCTGAGCCCGCGGGTTCGAGACCCGCCTGGGCAACTTGGCGAGACCTCATCTCTACAATAAATCAAAAAATCAGCCAGGCGTGGTAGCACATGCCTGTAATTCCAGCTACTCGGAAGGCTGAGGCGGAAGGATCGCCGGGAGCCCAGCAGGTCGAGGCTGCTGTGGCCGGGAGCGGCCACTGCACTCCAGTCTGGGCGACAGAGTGAGACTCCAACTCAAAAAAAAAAAAAAAGAATGAATTTTCTTTAACCCAGCATATCTGAAATGCTATCATTTCAACAGGTAAGCAAAACGTCACCTTATGAATGAGATATTTTTTTTTCCCATAGGAAGTCTTCCAGGTGTACAGCGCACCTCATTTTGAGCTCTACAACCGGACTTCACATCAGGCAGCAGAGACAAAATAGTGGCACCAAACCTCGTAGAAACACGATAGGCCTGGGTGTCATGATGGTGACTAGACTGGATGCTGGAACCAAATTGATTTCTCCCCCAAAGGGCCTGCACTAGCCGGTATTAATCCCTGGGGACTTAGAATACTATTGTCATCCACTGATCAGAAGTGGAGTCCCTGTTACTGTCAGCCACCCCATGGCTCTCTCCCCAGTTACTGAGTGCATGTTTGGAATAAACACAATTGGCAGCTGAAAAATCCCCACAGGGGCTCCCTGAATCAAGGGCTGAGGATGATTATGGAAGGAAAGGTCAAAGGAAGCCCCTAGTACTGTCTATTCTCTGGCACAGTATTGTAATTGAGCCCCTAGGGACTGACTTGATTATCTCACAGTATTCCAAGATATCATGCTGGTTCACTACATTAATGATTTCAGGCTGACTGGGCCTGATGCATAGAAGTGGCAAATATTTCGCCACAAAGTGAGGGATTTGCCCCTTGAAAATTCAAGGAGCTAACACCTTAGTGAACTTTCTGAGCACCCAGTGGGCAGAGACATGTTGAGATGGTCCCTCCAAAGACAAACACATTGCTACACCTTGAACCCTCTGCTGCTACAGCAGAAGCACCACACTTGGTAGGCCTCTTCCTGGATAAGAGACCTACAACTCAGGCCTCTGGAATTTGAAATAAGCATAAAGCCAAGACCTCTACCAAAACAAATAAAACAAAACAGAACACACACACACACACACACACACACACACACACACACACACACACAATTTGCTAGGAGGAACAACTCCAAGTTTGCTTTCATTATTTACTGAGACTGAATGTGTGATACATGTGGTCTTAAGACCTGAGCTGCCCATCATTAACTGGGTGTTGTCTTACCAACCAAACCATGAAGTTGGACTGTGAAGCAGTACTCTGTCATCAAGTACAATGCTGCAGTCACTGGAAAAAATGGTCTGGCAGTTCCCCAAAAGATTAACGAGGGCTACCATATAATTCCCCCATTTTTTTTTTTTTTGAGTTGGAGTCTCACTGTGTCACCCAGACTGGAGTGGCCACTGCAGCCTCAACCTGCTGGGCTCCGGCGATCCTTCCACCTCAGCCTTCCAAGTAGCTGGAACTACAGGCGCGCGCTACCACGCCTGGCTAGTTTTTGATTTATTGTAGAGATGCGGTCTCGCTAAGTTGCCCGGGCGGGTCTCGAACCCACGGGCTCAGGCAATCCATTCACCTCAGCCTCCCAAAGCACTGGGATTACAGGCTGAGCCACCGAGCCCGGCTAATTCCCCAATTCTATTCCTAGGTACAGACCCAGGAGAACTGAAAACAGGGTTTTAGACAAATACTTGTGCACATAATATTCGTAGCAGAACTATTCACAATAGCCAAAAGATAGAAACAGTGCAAACGTCCATCAACAGATGAATGGATAATGAATGTGCTCTATTTGTACCGTGGAATATTATATAGCCATAAAGAGGAATGACGTACTGATTCATGCTACAACACAAATGATCCTTGAAGCATTATGTTAAATGAAAGAAGCCAGACATGAAAGGTCACATCTTATATGCTTTCACTTACATGAGCTAGCTGAAATAGGCAAATCTAGAGAGACAGAAAGCGGATTAGTGGTTGCCTAGGACTGGGAGGTTTGGGGAGATATGGGGGAATGACTGCTATTGGGTACAGACTTTCTTCTTGAGGTGATAAAAATGTCCTAAACTTATATTGCGGTGATGGTTGCACAAGATTACAAGAATTGTGGGATGGGATGGCCACTCAGCACTGTTTTGAATAGTTTAAATGACAAACAATCAAATTCCTTAAATTTTTGGTTCCGGTCTGGACAGAAACCTAGGGAATTTCTGGTAACAATGCCTAAGGAATTACTTATCTCTTATTGCCACAATAACAAGACAACCAAAACTCCAATTTTTATATTTTGACCCATCACCTTTCCAAATTACAAAACTCGGTGAATTTACAGTCTTATTGTCTTAGTAAAAGTTGGGATCGTGATCAGAAAAAGCACAGAACACTGAGATTTGA